CTAAAACTACAGACAATTCGCTGACCGCTGTAGAGACGTGCGCACGGCCTTGAATTTGGCGCACGTCTCCACTGCGGACAGCGCTTCATACTTGAGCATCCCCGCAGTCGTGTGCGCATATCCCGCGGAACTGCGCGTCTCATCCGCGCGTAGCGCTCCGGATCAACAGCAAAGCTGTGCCACGCAATCTTGTATCATGTCTCTCTGGATGTCGATTATATCCTATGTGCTTGAGTGTGTGTGCTAACCTATATTACAAGCATATTTGCTTGTTTAACAAAAATAATTCACCTGGTTGCAGCCCACAAGATGTCTTGATTACTTCAGTCGAGTTTATGACTAAACTCTGAGATTGAGTGCGCGTGCTAACCTATATTACAAGCATATTTGCTTGTTTGGGAAAAAATATTATCGGTCGCATAGCCCACTAGATGCCTTGATTATTTCAGTCGGGTTTACAATAAAACTATATGGGCTTCAGTGTGCATGCTAACTTATATGACAAGCATCTATGCTTGTTCAAAAATAATAATTTACCTGATCAGGTAGCCCACTTGATCTACAGCAAAACTATGGGCTTGTATGAGTGCGCGCTAACCTATATATTACAAGCGTATGTGCATGCTTGTTTGAAAAAATAATCCCCCTGGTCACATATAGCCCACAAGATGTCTTGATTATTTCAGTCGAGTTTAGAGTGCGTGCTAAGTTGCTAACCTAAATTACAAGCATCTATGCTTGTTTAACAAAAATAATTAATTCTCCTGGTCGCATAGCCCACAAGATGTCTTGATTATTTCAGTCGAGTTTATGACTAAACTATGGGCTTGAGTGCGTGCTAACCTATATTACAAGTATATTTGCATGTTTGAAAAAAAAATCTAACCGGTTGCATAGCCCACTAGATGTCTTAATTATTTCAGTCAAGTTTACGACAAATTTAACTATGGGCTTGAGTGTGTGTGCTAAGTTGCTAACCTATATTACAAGCATTATATGCTTGTTTAAAAAAAATAATTCACCTTGTCGCAGAGCCCACAAGATGTCTTGATTATTTTAGTCGAGTCTATGACTAAACTATGGGCTTGAGTGTGTGTGCTAACCTATATTACAAGCATATTTAATTGATGTTACGCTTCCCGCTATACGGATTCGCGCGCCCGCCCTCCTTCGGCGCGCGAATTCGTATAGCGGGCAGCGCGAAATGCTACATACAACACACCGCGGTCGCGTGCGCCCAGTCCCGCGGAAGTGCGCAGCTTAACCGCTCTCGGCGGTCGGGGATGTTGTGTAAAAGCTGTAATTATGAGCGAGTAATCATACGTAGACATATAGCTCTTTTGTTAAATTTAAATTTATCAATCGGTTAAATATGTGAATTCACCGCCGAAACGGACGCAGTGTGGCAGCACGGTGCCGTCAGCTCTCCCATCGCGCGTGACGGCGAATAGCTTTTGCGTGCGCCCGCACCCACAAAAATATATAGAGACACATAATATTATTTCTATTATGCATATATATATATATCAAGAGTCCATAATAGAAAATATAATTAGGTCTACTATTTGTTTATTCACACGCACACATGCCCATACACACGCACGCACACGCACGCACGCGCACACACACGTACACCCACACAACCAGAATATCACTATTTCATTACATATTAACATGCGCTCCCCAGTTGTTAGATAGAGCTCAGTGAATAGACCATAGATATAAAAAAACACGCTATATTTACATGTCTGGCACAAACCCTTCCTTAAAAATGAGATGATGTCGCGATATGACGTCATTCCAACACTCGCCACGTAATTAAGGAAGGAATTAACATGATTTACCACGTACACAATGAATTTTTTCAATGATTAGAAAACGCGAACTATACGTAACATATGTGATGCATGTTCGTGTGAATTTCTAGGTTTGTTCTACGTTTTGTTCAAAGAGAAAACGACCACTTTATACTTTATTTCATGCGGCGTCTATGTGACTATAATATATATTTAGAATAGATGAATATACGTTGGGCACGGATTGATTAAAGAGAATAACAACATCATCGCCAAAAACAACTATATATACCTACTATATATACTATATATACTGCTAATATTATTACATGAAATCTACGTGCACATGTACAGACTGACTGCTTTACATACACACCTATTAACTAGCTGCTGCTCTGTTCGCGACCAGGTCAAATTAAACCCGGTAAACCACTCTGGCTTCTACTTCCTGTGCAGGTAGCCGGGTGGCCGGCCTATATAGTTCGCGTCAGCAAACAATCGACCTCTCACTCGCTCGCTGCCGAACGAACGCACATGGTCATGCGTGCGCCATTACGCGTGTTTTGTTCACGAACTTTTGTCGCTGAAGTTTTGCAAAGTGTTTGTATCATGCATGAATTAAATGAACTTGGTTTCGTGTAAACAGTTGCAATCAGACATTATGTAGTAAATCAAGAGACTGCCGGGCGAAGCGAATTAAGAGACTGCGGAGATCGACTGCACACATGTACGCACGTACTCCTGCACATGCAGTCACACACGCTTGCACCCACACACGTACGCGCACACTCCTACACACGCAGTCACACACACGCGCACGTACCTACGCACACAGCGAGAGTGAGAGAGAGACAGAGTGGGAGTGGGAGTGGGAGTGGGAGTGAGAGTGAGAGTGAGAGTGAGAGTGAGAGTGAGAGTAGAGAGGAAGTTGAGTCAGTGGATGAGAAGAGAGGAAGATGAGGAAGGGAGAAGGTAATTGGAGTAGGAGAGGAGAGGTATAGGAGAGATGAGGGAGAGGAGGGTGAGAAGCTGCTGGAGGAGGACGGGGAAAAAAAGTTGAGAAGGTGGTGGCGGATGAAGACAGGAGATAGAAGAGGAGGAGGAGGAGGAGGAGGAGGAGGCGGAAGAGAAGGAGGAGAGGAAGTAGAGAATGAGGGAAGAGAGTGATGGAAGAATAGGAAGAAAGAGGAAGAATGGAAAATGTTCGTCGGATATATTTTTATTCATCACACACATGTGTAAGTTACGTGTATGTCTATGTATATATGTCTATGTGTATGTGTTATGGAGTAATAAATACACTAATAGCCTTCGTAAGTCACTCATGCATCACATACACAGATTTGCAAGGTTTACAATATTTTAATAATTTTTTACAAATAATTAAATAATTACAATATTTTAATACAATATACTAATATTTTAGATACTTTAGTCAAAACATCAGCTTTAGCTACATTCCTCTTTGAAATTTGCAAATTGACTTTTTAAAATGATCAGAATTAGTTGCTTTCAACATAGCCTGAAAATGCAGGAAATGCCATTTCCAGGCTCTAAATTTCAACATTTTTCCCCCCAGACCCCCCGTATCGGCTGCGCGATCGTATGTTATATATAGATATCAAGTAGTAGCATTATAAAAATCAGCGTTTCCTTTAGCGATATTATTCATATCAGTCTAGTTACATCATAAGATCTAATTTGTACAGAATCCGTGAGCATTTTCCAACATTTGGAGGAAATTGACCGTTAACATATCAAGAGCTTATAATACCCCATCATCCCACAGCGGAAACGTTCAAATTGTGTGACGCTATCAGAAACCAAGACGAATTGGTGTTTAGTTGGTCAATGTTCAAGTGCATTTCTGTAAGTACAGTAGTATCAGTAGTATTTCTTTAGTATCATTAGTAGTAATATTATATTAGCAGTAAATTGCAGTAACTATGTGGTTTTAAAGTAGTCTAGCAGCAGTCCAAGCGTGTAATCATTCCAGGAGTAAATACTAATAGATCTATTATAATTCACTCCTGATCATACCAATGTGGGTGACTGTCTTTACTGACAGCAAGCAGCTTTGATGCTTTCTGCTTTTACATTACTTGAGTCAGAATTCTGCGGGTGTGAGCCATCAGTAAAAACGATCAAAGTACACATGAGGGCGCGCGCGTTGTAATCACCAATTACATAGAAACAGGTAGAAGTTGTTACTGGGAATCTCCATTTTTATGATCGCTTGGTAAATATCGTGTCAGCAATATTTGAATATAGATATGTGACGTAATACGACTTGTTCTTATTGCATCAATCCGTATTCATGTCAATTCGATTCAGTATTCCTCGTGCATCGGTAGGGGAGGTTGAATCTTTTGTACGTAGAGGTCGACAATCACTGCTAAGCTGCCGAAGACAAGTCCGATGCTGGCGCCATCATCCGGGGGTTTCGGCGAAACGTAAACAGTCACAAAGACTTGCGTTGCCGACAGAGTTGCTGGCCGCGCATGCGTAGTCGCCCGCATCTAAATATGTGGCAGTCTCGATCACGTACTGACTGCTTTCTTTCCCACTTATCTCAGTTTCGTTGTGAAGTCACGGTTAGCCGGTTCCCGTCGACCGGCATCGAAGCCACACAGCTAGGCTGTGCACCTGGCCAGCTG